CCTCCCTGGGCACGCCACCCTCCAGGAGCTTGCATGCCCTCCCTGGGCACGCCACCCTCCAGGAGCTTGCAGGTGTTCGGCTGCTTGAAAGCTTGCAGACCTCTTTACACTCTCAATTGTTGAAGATCCCAAAAGGGTTTTGTTTTGGGGGGGTGATAGCTATTAATATATATCATATCAGATACTAACATTGAGAAATGTTTAAGATATTTATTAGCCTAAAAACAATAAACAATAGCCGGACGCAGTGGCTCACTCCTGTAATCCCAGCACTTTGGGAGGCCAGGGCAGGCGGATCACCTGAGGTCGGGAGTTCAAGACCAGTCTGACTAACATGGAGAAACCCCATCTTTACTAAAAATACAAAATTAGCCAGGCATGGTGGCACATGCCTGCAATCCCAGCTACTCGGGAGGCTGAGGCAGGGGAACAGCTTGAACCCGGGAGGCAGAGGTTGAGGTGAGCTGAGATCGTACCACTGCACTCCAGCCTGGGCAAAAAGAGCGAAACTCCGTCTCAAAATAAACAAATAAATAAGTAAAAATAAAAATAAACCCATTACATGTTAATATAAACACTTTTATTAAAAATTTTTTCTTAAAAAAAGCCAAAAAGAGTGACATCGTTTTACATTTTTTGCAAATCTCTTTAATGTCTTTAATGTCTGGCCTAATAGGAGGCAGCTGGATTCTTCTTCTATCCCTGTATTGGATCTGTTGTGATACGCTGTTTTGGTTGAAGTATATGAAGAAAATTCTGCCTCACTGACATGTAGTTAGAAAAGGAAGGAATAGCTTTAATAGCCTTTCCAAGTAATTATAGATCCTTGCCACTACACCAAAATATGACAAATGATAGTTTCTCAAAGATTAGTTGCAACGTGGAATCTAAAACTGTATCAGGCCAGGAGCGGTGGTTCACGCTTGTAATCCCAGCACTTTGGGAGGCCAAGGTGAACAGATCACCTTGAGGTCAGGAGTTCAAGATCAGCCTGGCCAACATGGTGAAACCCTGTCTCTACTAAAAATACAAAAATGATTAGCCTGGCATGGTGGCAGGTACCTGTAATTCCAGCTACTCCAGAGGCTGAGGCTGCAGTGAGCCGACATCACGCCACTGCACTCCAGCCTGGGCCACAGAGCAAGATTCCATCTCTAAATAAATGAAAAAATAAAAATAAAACCCTGTCAATGAACTTTTCACTGAACTACCTTGCATTTTGAATTTTGTAACATCAAGCACCGGTCATTGGAAAATACTGGTTTACTGAGTTATGAGGATCTTCCAAATGGTGACACATTTTATTTTATTACTTTTTTGAGACAGAGTCTCACTCTGTCACCCAGGCTGGAGTGCAGTGGTGCAATCTCAGCTCACTGCAACCTCCTTCCAGGTTCAAGCGATTCTCCTGCCTCAGCCTCCTGAGTAGCTGGGATTAGAGGCATGTGCTACTGTACCCGGCTAATTTGTGTATTTTTAGTAGAGATGGGGTTTCACCACCATGTTGGCCAGGCTGGTCTCCCACTCCTGACCTGAAGTTGGTTTCCTAGAGCGCTGGGATTACAGGCATAAGCTTCCACGCATGGCCCACATTTTATTATACAATACCAAAAATCATACTAACTTCACTACTGACCTCATCAGAAAAATTTTAAGTCCCAGGAAGTGGTCAGGCTCTAGGAAGTGAATAAAAGGTTTCCCAAAAATTCTCATTTTCACTCAAAAGCTCAAATTTTATCATGGGCAACAAATATTTTATTAATTTATTTATTTTTAAAAAATAAACGTAGAGACGAGGTCTCACTATATTGCCCAAGCTGATCTTGAACTCCTGGGCTTAAGTGACTCTCCCGCCTTGGACACCCAAAGTGGTAGGATTATAGGTATGAACCATGGTGGCCTGTGCCTGGCAACAAATGGTGATACTGTTTTTGAGGTGACAAGCTCATGTCATTCATTTTTGAGAAAATGTCTGCCAAATACCGACATCTAACTAGTTTGCCTATCAGCTGTCCAAGTACAAACGGTGTTCTCAAAAAAAGCAATGAACACAGCTTACAACTCCACCAAGTAAGAGCTTTTCCTCATCACAGTTAGGTTTGTAGCAAAGGGGCTTCATGTGTATTTCATATTCCTTCACGCAAAATATCAGAAGGGATAGGTATGCAAAGGTCTAGACTTTCTAAAATTAATGATCTTCACTACGTTTAAAGAAGTGTGCGCGGCCGGGCGCGGTGGCTCAAGCCTGTAATCCCAGCACTTTGGGAGGCCGAGGCGGGTGGATCACGAGGTCAAGAGATCGAGACCATCCTGGTCAACATGGTGAAACCCCGTCTCTA